ACTTATGACACTCCTGAACAACACCTTATTCTCTAACTAAAGTCAGCTCAGAACCAGCAACACGACCACAGAACACAGTCCTTGGTGTTGTACTGCAAGACGTAAGACAAAGCATCCTGTCAACCAACCAACCACTTTACCTGAAGTTTCCTTTAAAGTCTTTGATGTTGTTTACTTACTTTCAACACTACATTATCTACCAAAGCATTGCAATACAGCTACTCACGTAGCTAAAGGGGCCTTCATGTCCTTACTTTCGCTTGCATACATCAGTGAAGAAAGCCCCTGTAGGCGGTCTCCAGGAAAACCCAGCAGGTTGATGATTTTGAGCAGGTTTGGGGGCACCATGGATATGCAAAGGTGAAAAAGGCCATATCCAAAGCTAACAGCACCTTTCAGTCTGTTCAGAGACTCCTCAGACACCCCTTCAGCCACAATGTGATTATCATTTGCAGCATCAGAAGTCAAGGACTCTTCAGTTAGCTTCTTCTGATACAGCTCCTGAAGGGCATTGATGTCCAGATAGCATTTATTGTAAATCTTCCATGCTTTCCTAAGGATCCACCCACCTTTGATGTAAGCTAAAAAGATAAGGGGGAAAAAACATTCAAAATATTTTTTGTATTTCTATAGTAACAGTAACCTGAAAATCAAGCAAACAATTTAAAAAACATAAAATTATTGTTTGTACCCAGTTTTCTTACAGTGCTTATTTACATTTCTTATTTCTCATAAGTCTCCCTTCACTACACTGGATGATGACTGGTAAGCATGTGATTTTCTGCTCATTGTTCTATCAAGCCCTTCATGCAGTACACAGAGTGTGGTATGCAATATACATTGAAGGAATGAATGCATCACTTGAACCCAATATCTTTTCACGTGTTCTGTGAAACCCTCCATTGCGTTCCTGAATTGCTATACTGCTTTCCTGATAAACTTTTTTATAATCCTTGCATTTGTCTGCCCTGTGTTACATTCCTCCTCAAAAGCAAATTCTTGGTCTTGGTCTAGGTCTAGGTGACCATTAAATTTCTAGCCAAGGTTGGGTGCAGTGGCTCATGCCTGTAATCTACCCCGCCCGATTAAATTTTGTATTTTTTATAGAGATGAGGTTCCTCCATGTTGCTCAACCTGGTCTCAAACTCCTGGACTTAATTATGTGCCCACCTCAGCTTCCCAAAGGGCCCTGCTGTTGACCGCTCCTCCTAGGAATATTTTTACCTTCAGAGGAGTAGGAAGGGCAGAGGGGATTTCAACTTACATGGGACTATCTAGTGCATCGTCATTGCATTTTTGAGGAAAGGATTTTCTGTAGGGAATTTTCTGAAAGTTCTCTCCTAACTATGAGAGAGCTTATCCACTTGGCAATGTTACTAATATGATACCAACTCTGATCCTCATGCGCAAATGGACAACATAAATTGTCAGACTTCCAGGCCCTTTAGAACAGTAGGAAAAGAGGTTTTCAAAGAGGTATTTTTAAATTTCAGAAATATATAAAATAAAATCTGATTTACAAAAGCCTAATCCAAGAATTGAGAGTGATCTAAGAACAGATGCATAGAAAACAGTTAATGCAGCAGGCCTGACTGCTATCCTTCAACAGAACTGCTAACAAGGTTGACCCTTGGCTGGGTTGGGAGCTCGGATTCTGGGAAGGTTCTTACTATTTCCAGGACTGATAAGAGTGGCTCACTGTGTGCACCTTAACTGCCTGCACAAATAATATGATGTACATTGAACACTCATTTTTCTTCTGGGAGTCTGGAAATTGTCTATGTGCAAGGTAGGGGCGCCTACATGATCGGCCACTAATAACAACTCTGACACTAAGTCTCTAATGAGGTTCCCTGGATGGTGACATTTCATTTGTGTTGTCATATCTCATTGTTGGGGCAAATTAGCACATCCTGAGTGACTCCCCTGAGAGCAGAGCCTTGGAAGCTCATGCCTGGTCTCCACCCCACGAGCTTTTTCCCTTTGCTGAGTTCCCTTTGTATCTAAGAAATACAAATGAACTATAAAACATAATTTAAGCCCTCCAAATGTCTGCAATAAAATTAGGAGAGAAAACCAATACAAATGAAAAAATAAGCATGCAACATAATTTTGCTGTAAGAAACCATAACTGAGAGTATGATTATAAGATGAGTCTTGCATGCAAGTCATCAAACCCGGGGGTGGTCTTGGGGACCCCAAATCCATGTTATTAAGCTATTATTTTACTTAAATGCATCAATTTTCTGACAGATGATGATCATATCACCCATGAGATCACATTTAAAAACAACCATCCTACAATGTCTGGGTGATCAATGTCCTACGGTCTACCTCCACTAAAAAGAATGCTATAGTATAGAATGAACAAGTAAAACAAATTAACCTACAAAGTTTTTTAAGTAACTTTAAAATAATAAAATACATTTGAAACAATTTATTTTCATTTGTTCAACTTAACAAGAATATTTACTGTACAAACACCACATTTCAAGCACTGTTCTCAGTGAATCAAAGTGAAATAAGACAGAGATTCCTCCTTTATGAGGCTCAATGACTTTCTCCCCTCCTAAATGGAAGCACTATGGAAAAGAAAGCCTGGAGAAAGACCTGAAGCTTCTTTTATACTAACAAAGTGGATTTTTAAGTGTCTGGATCGATTCAGCATGCCCACAAACAAGAAAGATGATACTTAGTAACAATCGAAAAAGCCAAAGATTTAACAGAAAAGCTGGAAAAAAGAAAAAGAGGAAACTAGAATATATATTCTTGAGAACACAGAGGCAATTGGAATCTAACTGAAAGCGAATAATCACTGGTTGCAGATTTTTTTAAAAATCTGCAAAACCCTAGAAATATCAATTTGCTATTGATTGTTTCTGTTATGTGCCTGGCATTGTCCTTGCCATCTGAGGAACACCAAACAACTATAAAACATAGTCCAGCCCCTCCTAATGCCTACTAGAAAATTAGAGAAGAAAATAAACGCAAAGAAAAAAATAAACATGCAACTTAACATATATATTTAAATGCTCTACTGGGTCATATATAGAAAGAGTGAAAACAATGCTAAGATGATCAGTGAATTGTTCTTTTTTATCTCCTTTTTTGTCATTAAATAGTTTTCCATATAGTAAACACATAAATAAATTAGGGAGTACAAAATAGTTATTGCAGGATTTTGGAA